TTAAATGGCGTGAGGTCAGTTCGTTGTTTGTTTTTTTAGGGAACTATTTCGGCCGACTAGCAGCAGATCCACAAACATAACACCGAAACTGTAATTGCTGATACATATCAGCAACATTGTTATTTATAAATTATTATTACTATTCATTTATAAAATAAAAAGTACTTGGCTAGCCTGTAGAACCTTGTGCTAGGTTAACCTTTGCTTAGTCTGTTTTTTTTATGGGATAGGAGGCAGACGAGCAGACGGATCACCTGATGGTAAGTGATTACCGTCGCCCATGGACACCTGCAACACCAGAGGGGCTACAAGCGCGCTGCCGGCCTTTGAGGGACGAATATGATCATAGGGAGGGAAGGATTGAGGGGTAGAGGGAAGGGAATAGGGAGGAGTTGGGCCTTCGGTACCCTCACTCACACGACAAAACACAACCCAAGCGTTGCTTCACGTCGGTTTTCTGTGAGGCCGTGGTATCACTCCGGTCGAGCCGGCCCATTCATGCCGAAGCGTGGCTGTTTATTATAATTAATTTTCCAACGCTAAACCTTTTTTTAACCATGTTTATTAATAACACTGACCAAATTTAATTCTCTCTGCAACATACGTGTAGTCACGCACGTTCTCCAGTATTACAAAAGGATTCACGTTTAGTTATACATACGAAATAGTATACCGATGTACTTATCACTTATTATCCCAAATAGTAATTAATGTAAAGTGAGTTTGACCAAACCGCTGGTTTTCGCCACAATTGTTTTGTATTGTAATTTGAAAGTTTTTACCTACGGCCGCAACGTCTGCATTTGATTTTAAACCTTATCGTAGTGACGTTTTAGTTCAAAAGAGGCTACAGTAATTTAACTTTAACTAGACTTCTGCTATGTAAATACATAATTATATTTAATTAACGACAATCACCCTTCCACTACTTTCGTTTTATTATTATTGTTTTTGATTAAAACCAAATGAAAACCCATTCAACAATATTCGAATTTATCGCATAAAAACAGACAGATAAACGAGCGTCAAGAGGTCAAGAGCGTGTACTTATATATACACGCCCCTGACATCAGCTACGTTTTTTACGTATGCAAGAAGTATATTGAAAAAAAAACTTCCCAATTTTCACCTTAGTTAACTATTAGTTTTACTAATTTGTACACTTTAGGAAGTATGGTTGTTAAATTATTTGTATGTAAATTTTGAATGCTAGTCGATTATAAGAATCATAATACTTTTAATTAAAAAACGAGTATTGTTACTTTTTTTTAGTTAAATCTAATCCGAACATTTCCTTTGCAACTATTTCAAATTATTCTTTAAACGACAACGAAAATGCATTCGTATTTAATATATCAACAGCACAGAACAGAAAGAGCAGCTCAAAACTATAATTTTCAAAAAATCACGCAAATAAATCACTACGTAATTAGATTGATTAATGATTTTACAACTTAATCACTTGCGGTCAGAAAAGTAAACAAAACAAAATGGCGAAAAAATGTTTAACAGATACACTCGCAGAATTAAGTAGTCCTTTGCGCAAACGCTACTCTTTTGATGACTTTTTAATAAGCAGTACCTCTCAAGACCCTAACACGTGCATGAAATTTACACACACATACAAATGATTTGTGCGTTCAACACGAGTTATGACTTGTCATGACGTATTGCGAATAAGCTGTGGCGAAATCCACAAGGTCAACGCCGTTAATTAAAAAGAAGTGCAGGCTCCATCGATGGCGGCAGTGGATGTTCCGTTCACTAGAATTATATTAGTTAACTTTTGATATGTCTTTTTTAGTAATTTAATCAAATCATGATCATGAGTATGTGAATACTCGTATCGAGTTAATGTATGAATATGAAAGAATTAAACCATGTAGGTTTTATGAGTAGGGGATACGGTGCTTATTTGCATGTATGGAGTGTACGCCACTGACTGAAGTATAGGGGAGCACTTTGTTTTATATGTAACAAAACTGCCATACAATCGACACATTCGAAATAATTTTTAACGTAATTTTCAACTTTGCTCCATGATGACTTTGCCTACATTTCAGAAATTTTAAATTAATGATTGAACAGCCTTAAGGCTAAAATATCTATCCTTACCAAATAGAAATTAAGATACTAAATAAAACAATTTATCGGGAATACAATATTATATATTCTCTTATTTATAATAAACATTTAGAAATAACATTTTGCTTACATATTAAAATATTTTTACAGCCACGTCGCAGTCGGGAGTTTAATTTCGTTACAATAAAAAAAAACTTTTGAACTGCGATCATTTAAGAAAACTCAACTTTATTGCATAGCCAAAACGAGTGCGTTTCTAATAACAAAATATCAAAAAATAGCAGTCTTTAAGACTCGTATCATGCACATACCCGATAGTTTGGTAAAACTTAAGCACAAATAAAATGGGAAAATTCCTTTTTATATTCGTAATACACTTATAAAAGGCTTATCAGTATTCATACAAATTGATCCAACTTTCTATTTATATGAACGCTTATATGAATCATGAATTAGGTATTGTTGCAGCCAACTGGTTAAAATAGTCTTTTAATAATACGTACAAAGACTAGTCTTTTCATCGATCAACGCAAATTAGTTCAACTACTAGATTAGTCAAGTAGTTGAAAACATTTTACAGCGTTTGCTCAGCCAACTAATTGAACGTCAAACTTTGGTTTCAAATAAGTCGTGTAATTGGACAGAGTCGTTCTCTGTAAGAGTTAATCCCTTATTTCAACCAATTGGCTGCAATACAACAGTAACATTATTTTCATCAAATGTTTGTGATTCGATATAATATCAAGCGCGAGATCGAGACTAGTTCATCGATAAAAAATTTGAAGAGAGCGTTAAAGTTCGTACGAATAGAAAGATTGCAATTTGTTTAGGCAGCCAATCTATCTTAGTTACTCAATATGACGTTTTACAATTTGATACTTTCTTTTATTCGCCTTGATGAAATCTTCAAATAAGGAAATTATCAACTTTGTGTTTTTGAAACTCTTTTTAATAAAATATAGGGACTTACTTAACACTATGCAAACATTTTATAAAAGAAAGACACCGCTGTACATGTTTATTGTGCCCTCTCACTTCAATTACTGTGACTGCATCGCGTTGAAAGTGTATTTTTCATTGCTAAACGAAAATCCTGGTCCTTTTTGGTTGCTTACAAACTAAATATCAATTATGTAAAAATAGTACCTGTACCTTGCACCAGTATATACATACATAAACGTAGAATGAATATTGCAAACTAACTGATCGGCAACGGTTCAGCAATGACTGTTTGATCAGGAGAAAGATTGGACCAAATAGCCTTCACCGTTTAGAGCAAGTTAAAAAAAAATACAATTTCTGCGTTCTCAATGAGGAAGTATTTAAAAAAAAAACGAAAGCACCTCCAATAGATGGCGACTCTAGCAAAAGTTGATTTTTGCAGGTAACGAATGGACCAAAGACAGTCATTTCCGTTCCTTTTAACTAACATATTAAAAAACGGAAATATGAAAAGTTTGAATCTTAAATACAATCTTATCTTAAGTACAAATAGAATATACTCATATTCCATTTGTACTTTTTCGTATTATTGCCTATTATTGTTTATTGAGTTTTGAAAACTAATTTTCTTTTAAAAATGAAAGAAAACCGGAAGGGTTGTCATGGAGAAATCAAGAACGTGCCGTAGCGACATCTAGTTTGATTTCGGGAACTAATGTTTTTTTTAGTAATTCCTCATTCATTACACTTTAGCGAGAGATAATACAACATACTTTTATAGATAGGGAAATAACGTCACCTAAAAACTAACAAGCATTGTCGCATATAGTGAGAATAAAATTAACTCAAAAAGCTGATGGATGTTAAGTACTCTAAGTAGTACTAAGTTCAATTGCCCTCATGCTAAGCCAGTTGCAGTATCTAGCCATTAATGTAGAGCAGTGGGCTAATTATCTAACTTTAAAATCTATAGCGATCCTTTTCAAAGTTTCAACGAATGTGATAGCGCGCTTTTCGCAACGAATAATGATTTGAATAGTAGGTTTGCTTATTCTCTGTATAATATGAATTTGGACTAATACTAAAATTGCGATTTTAGCGTAAATTTACTCTGACGCTAAAACTTGTTTATTAATAGCACTGTAAAATTAATTAAATTCAACTGTTTATATGAGCTTTGACCAGTTACTCTGTAGACTCGAAGGTTGCATAATAATGTCATTTTGTACACCAATAATTATCTTAATTCAGCATATTAACGATTAAAGACCAAATATATTTATATATTGATATACTTAATTTATATATTGATAGATTCCTCGTTAAACAGAGGAATTTTGCTGATACATTTTACTTCGAGGGAGATCCAAATTGCTGGAACGCATGAGCAAATATCACTGTCCACTAATTCATTGTTAAACTCAACCTTAACCACTAATAATAAGGTTGACCATCGATTGACATCTATAACAACAAAAAATGTAACTAATTATACAGAAGAGTACAACAATTTAGAAAAATACGGAGTTTATTAACAATATGACATTAAAGTGTTCTCATTAAAGTTTGAAATGGATTAAAGTAAATTTAAATACATTATGTGAACAGTATAAATTTAAAGAAATTTAGATACAGGAAAATACAACACATATTTTTTTTCTCAGCAAAAATGCATAAAGTAAAACTCAATTCCTAACTTACAAATTTATCTTTATCTTAGCTGGTGGCTAGTCGAATGAAAAAACAAACAAGACAATCCTATTACAAAATATTAAATACCGACTTCTCAACTCTCAATATTACGCAAAGCTGGGCTCAGATGGCAGCACAAGCACACGTAGTAAACATACATACATTTCGTATTTTCAATATTAATAATTCCCTTCCTTCTTACTACATGTACAGCAATGATGTAGGGCAGATGACCTGGTATTGGTCATACGAGCCTTTTTGGCTTTTTGGCACTTCAAAAAATAGGCAAATATATTACTTTACCGTATCTTTATAACGTTGAATTATAGCAAATCTAATACCGTTGATACCTGCGTTGTGACAAAAGTTAAATTTTTAGTAATTTTTAAATGGCCTGAAATAGGTCCTAATCTTAAATTGGCCAAAACCGGCTCATCTACCCTATTACTGGATAAAATTACCGTTTTAATTATAAATTCAAAAATATTAGTAATCATACTATGCTACTATTACTATACGCTGCTTACCACATGTGCTAGTGCTGCTACTTGGCGACAGAAAATTGCAGTAACACGTCCTATTAGCGATGTAAAAATTATAGCAATAATAGTAACCATTACACCGTGAACTAGTCTTATGATGTATGGTTGGTTTGTCTATGCGCACTCCTTAAGGACCTGCAATGATTTCCTGAACAGTTCTTGTTGCTCTCTGGCGTGTTTGATCTCCAACTCAGCGAGATCTATAAGACTGAAAAATACACATATCAAATACACCATACTAAAATAGTATGCCACTAAATTCTATCCACCATCTGGATTTTTCGAGATCGATTCCCAATCTTGAATTCTAAGCAATGAATGTAATATTGTCTAATATTTTATATTAGTTTTATGTAACACTTAATTGTTCTCCTGCGTCTTCACTCGCGTATAATATTGTACAAATAATATAAGTCGACATTATTAATAACTAAACCATCAACATTTTAATAGTCACCTGGAACTATATCACCAGTGGTCCGCAGAGCCCTATCAAATTATTACCAGAGGTCGGAATTAGGTAGAGTTATTTATGTACTTGCATCGAAATGTTGATATTAATGTGGACCTAAGTGGCAACATCGCGCGTATTGGTATTTTGCAACTTTGGACATCCGATGTCATTCATGTAAGTTTGGCAACATCGTGCGTGCAGTAGTTTAAATTGTGTAAAAGTAAATAACTTTTTATTTAAAAATCACGAGATTTTTTCTGCTCTTTAAAATTAATCTCGGGATTTGAGGCATATCCACTTTATTCTTTCGCTGTATGAAATCAGTGTAAGTACATGAATAACTCTATCTAATTCCGACCACTTATTATTACTAAATGAAAATAATCACTGATATTTATAATAGCCCAATGATTCGAAAACGAAACAGAAATATAATAATTGCTGAAATTAATTAGAATAAATTCACTTTTCACTCCGGAAAATGAATCCTATCCCAATCTATAATAAGAATGATCTTTAAATAGTTCTGGGCATAGAGGGTCTTACGAGTAGTTTTTCTTTACGAGTAGTATTTACCTTTTCCTGAATGCTGCAACGCGTCTGGTGCGGAAATCTAATAATTCTTCCCTGGCTCGTGCAGATAGCTGCTCGAATCGTGCGCATGCTTCAGCTTGCTGCTGTTCAGCCTATACATGACCAGTGGATATGCTTATTTATATAATGAAGTACATAATCAAATACTACGAGTATCTACATAATTCAATATTATATCCTTTCGACTGCCGTTATAATAATAAATTAATTTCAATAATATATCAAAGTTTTAAAATAGTTTTCCAAAGTCAATCAGTGAATTTCATATTAATTTTTAAAATTATTATTAATATGTTAGTAAACTATATCGATCAAATTTGATCTTTAATAATAGAAAAAAAAAATAGATTGTGGTATGATTAATATTGACGAACATAATATCAAATGAGTACTAATTACAAATATTACCTGAACGAACCCACTTTTAATTACTAATTTATAACAAATATTTAGACAGAGTTTATAATTTCTTGGACAAATTCAAACTGTGTATAAAGAAGAGTAATCGTCACACGGGTCAGTGAATGTGACAAATAGAACCTCAAAAACTTTTAAGCCCGTTTTCACCAAACGCCCAAATCTGTCACCTAAATATTTTGCATTGTCAAAGGTGAAAATGCGTTTCACCAATGACAAGGCGACACCTAACGACTATAAGAAACGCTTAAAGTTAGGACATACAATGTGCAGCGCCTTGCGCTGAGCATTTGCGTAATGTGATATATAGTATATTTACTCTTTGGCCATAACGGATGTGTCAAGGGATAAAATCAATTTAGTAATTTGGAATCAAGGAGTTTATATATTAGAATTAAGATATAAACAATGTCATTTTTGAATTTTCGGACTTTTTATATAAGGACAATAACAACTCGGGTGCTCGTGTAAATTACAAGACCACGAATATTTTCTCGATCTCGATTTTCAAAATATTTTTTTTTATTGTCTCTACGTGTAAAGGCCACTAACGTGACATTGGCGTAATTGTGTAAACGCAACTATGTCATACATAAAAAAGAAGAGGAACATAGACAAACGTTGCATAACTAAACAAATGCTTAGTAAGGCATTACCTAATGTTGCAGGTTTGGTAAAACTATAAATCTGCTTAAGCTATTCTTAATATTAAGCGATTTTTAGTTAAGCTATGCCTTGTTCTAGGTTAGTGAAAACGGGTATTAATCTCTTATTTTAAAAGTTCTCAATGACAAACGTAATTTGAACTTTCAAAAATACTACGCTCGACTTGGCGGAGTCACTTCCATGCCCCTAGATTATAATTACATGAACGAATCCAAAGTAATCATTATAAAGGTAATTTATTACTACTTATTTATTTATTTAATTTAGATCAATAGAAATATTAGGAGTTGACATAAAATAGTATTTTATAGTAAATTCAGACAGAATATGTGCATTTACCTCTTGTACTTCCATCGGCTGTAAGCGCAGACAAAAACACGAGTGAGAGAAAGAGAGAGAGACATTAACACACAAGCAAAAGAGAAATCACATGGCATCTTAAAATGAAATTGTGTTGAAAGTAGAAATACACAATTATTTTTAATTCGAGTAAAAAAAATCACATGATTTGTTTTTTAAATAAATTAAGTCATTTAGTTGTTCCATATCCAGGTTTAACGGGAACCCAATTACTAAAACTTCGCTGTCAGTCTGTCACCAGTTCATCACTCCCATACAACAAACGTAATGGTTTGCTTGTTTTTGTTTGACATCGATAACAACAACAGGTAGACGCTTGAAATATTAACCGAGTATGTATTTATAAAGAAACAGCTAATTGCGCTTTGTAAGTATGTATATAGATGTTACGGAACCCTTCGTTCGCACTTGGGTGTGTTATAACCAGAGGTCGGAATTAGGTAGAGTTATTTATGTACTTGCATCGAAATGTTGATATTAATGTGGACCTTCCCGGGATTTCTAATGGGCAATAATTTCTAACTTTGGACATCCGAAGTCATTGATATAAGTTTGGCAACGTCGTGCGTGCAGTAGTTTAAATTGTGTAAAAGTAAATAACTTTTTATTTAAAAAATCACGGGATTTTTTCTGCTCTTTAAAATTAATCTCGGGATTTGAGGCATATCCACTTTATTCTTTCGCTGTATGAAATCAGTGCAAGTACATGAATAACTCTACCTAATTCCGACCACTGGTTATAACACACATAAAAACCAGCCAGTGTTTATTTTTAAGACAGCACAGAAAAGGAAAATAAAAAATTGAACCATTATACTTAAATTAAAACCTTCCTAGGAGTAACTTATTATGATATTATGAAACATATTTACATATTATAGAAAAAAAACTGTACAGTCAGCAAAAAACTAGAAGTAGAACACAAAGAAAAAATGCTTATTTAATTTCATCAAGACTCAATGGGTCCATTAAACCGTCAAAAATATCGTTACATTTTATATCGAAAATGAAATATTCTTTATTGCCAAACGATTCTGATTCTTACTTACTGGGTCGCGAGTAGTGACTTTATTTAGTTCTCTTATCCGCTCAAACGAAATTTTGCCAATGTTACTTATGAAAATGGATGTGTGTGCACATCCATGTTTCATGGCTGCATGTCAGGCTAGCACACACCAAATTCAAATGTCAGAAATGTATTTTAACATCTACCCACAATATATTAAGGTTTAAATTCGAGTGCGGAAACTTAACAGTGAAAATTCGAAAATGACTACTGTATATTTAAATTATATATATAATAGAAGCTTTAAATAGAAAATATACGGTACTTACAGCATGCACATCTTTGTTTTTAGCTCGTGCCTTTTCAAGATTTCTGTTTGCTGCTTCGTAAGCAGCAAGGCATCTAAGAAAAGACAAAAGATTATTAAGTATTTAATAGAATAAAGCATTACCTTGCAGAATTCCATTGCATTAACTGTAAAATAAAAAATATTTGTTATTTGCGCACACACTATCTACTTGATGTCTACTTGATAGTGTGTGTTCCGTAATTGTGAGCGTGGAAAATTCACCTGAGTCTCCTAACTAAAACAGCTTTAGCAGCATGTGCGTCCCTCATGTAATAGCGGAGTGTATCAGCTAACTTCAGATCCTGATCGGATGCCATGCGACCTTCGATTTTCTGTTAAACACATAAAGTCGTTATTAGCTTGCTTGTAAAAGTAAATCTCATAATTTGCAGGGTTCCATAACGTATTTTGTTTACTTAAATTATACATGAATTTAAATGAAAGACTACTATTGAAGTTTTGTAAGAACTAGACCATGGTCCCAGAAAAAAAAACTATGAGTCTCGGATATCTATTCTTCATACCGAATAAAATTATGAGATTAGGTATTATAAATGATAGTATGCAATATAAACGAATAAAAAATAAGTATCAGATGTCCCGGGAAATACTACAATGCATGCTCTGACCTAAGCCTTAATATAATGGACATTTAAATAAATAAAAATCATACCCGACACTTATCGAATGTTTCAGATGCTCTGGTGAGAAATCTCTCGGTGGGCGGCTGTTCACGAGTAGCGAGTTGTGTGATACACGACGACAGTTTGATATGTGCGTCTGCTACTTCTATATAAGACAATAATATGTGTTATTGGTTTTGTATCTAATATTTATCTAAAAAATAAATAATTATCGTCCCAAGGAGAAACGTCAACGTTAGTTCTAGCTATATTATTTATTTACCAAAACAAAGAGAAGCACAGAAATTACGCTTTTTGAAACTTTAAAAGGTTCTATTGTAATCTCATTTAGTTGTTAGTTCCGTAAACTTATTCAATTTATATATAAAATCACCGGAAGTGATTAAACGCAGACGTTATTAGAATCATGTACAAGTTATTTTGGAACAAAATTGTAATTATTGATTAAAGTATTTAAGTTAATGTATGCATAGTCAAGCTAAAGTGGACTAGGGGGCTCATTATAGAGTAAGGAGTGGATATTATAAGAGTCGATTTCTGACATTTTCATTATAATATTTTGGGTCGCCAGTCAACAGTTAAGAATCACTGGCTTAACCCGTATATGCCAACAACAACATACGAGGGTCAAACTGAAAGTTCTTAGAACTGGCCACTTATAAACAATATAATAAAAAAATAATTCTAAAATTTGAAAATATAACTCTTTGCCAATATTACTGAGTATATATTTCATTCATTTGTCATTTGTTTTACGATTTGGCGGCAAATTGAAAATTGTCTGTGTCACGTCATCATGAATTTAACACGAGAAAATTTTCGTGCAATGATTTTTTATGACTTTCGATGTCATTTAAGTCAACAAGAAAGTTATGATAGACTACGATTGGCCTTTCACGATGAAGCCCCATCTCGTGCGACTGTTTACAACTGGTTTAATGAGTTTAAACGTGGTCGCACTAATCTCACTGATGATTTACGTGAGGGACGGCCTTCTACGGCGACGACTGAAGATAACATCTGTGTTGTGCGGCGTATGATAGAGACTGACAAAAGAGTGACCTATCAACAGATTCGGACAAGCTTAGGCATCGGTATGAGTCAAGTGCACAAAATCCTCCACGAACATTTAGCGGTCAGGAAGCTTTGCGCCCGGTGGATACCTCATAATTTGACTGAGGCTCAAAAACTCCATCGTGTGGATTGGTGTCGTAAAATGATTGAAAGATTTAACGGAGGTGACTCAAATGCTGTGTTCGACATACTAACAGGTGACGAAAGCTAGATTTACTGTTATGATCCTAAAACCAAAAGACAATCTGCTCAGTGGGTGTTTCCTTTCGAGGAGTTGCCAACTAAAGTGAAGAGAGATCGAAGTGCGGGAAAAAAAATGGTGGCCTCGTTCTTTGGAAGGATAGGTCATTTTGCAACAATTGTGTTAGAGGATCAAAAAACAGTTTCTGCAGAATGGTACACTACCAATTGTTTGCCACTTGTCTTGGAAAAAGTTCGAGAGAAACGACCTCGCAGTAGGATCCTCCTTCACCACGACAACGCCTCGTCGCACACCGCCAAGCGAACGATCGACTATTTGGCGACATCAAACGTTGAATTACTGGGTCACCCGCCGTATAGCCCCGACCTCGCGCCTTGTGATTTTTATTTATTTCCAAAAATTAAAGAAAAACTTAAAGGAAAGCGGTTTATGAATGCTGAAGAAGCGGTGGCTGCGTATCGCGATGCCATTGAAGAGACCCCTAAGGACGAGTGGGCAAAGTGCTTTTCCCAGTGGTTCCATCGCATGCAGCGGTGTATTGACGTGAATGGACAATATTTTGAAAAGATATAATAAAACTAATAACTGGCTAATGTAATCAGTTTTTGATTTTCTAAGAACTTTCAGTTTGACCCTCGTATTAGTCAGAAAATGTATCTTACAATTATAAGAATGAACTTTAAGTTTGGTAATGAATCAATACAAGTTGTGACTTAATTTTAGCATGTACAAAAGACATATAGAGGGGTATTGTGCGTTTTCGAATCAAACCCCTCACCTTTATGTTTTGATGTCATTCTGTCAACTTTAGCAACAGCATCTTTCAAGTGGGAGTAGTATTCTTGCAGGAACGAGGTCTCCTGCTCGAAGAAGTCATTCACGTCCCTCACCGTTGCACCCAAGTATATTTCATCTGTGGTCGTTGTCATTGAACGCATCTGTGAAAAAAAAATTAGCGATTAGATCAGTTGAATGTAGACCTTCAGAACCTTATTCATGAATTACCGGTTGACACTCGGCGCGCTTCAGTATCCGGGCTGGAGGGTGTGAAATTCTACCAGCATCTACAAGCTGTTTGATGTGGAAATGTACAAAAAGTTAAAACAGACCTCAAGAAACGAAGCCTCCTATAAGAAATATTGGTAACAAATGGGTACAATCACCTCAAGAAAAGGCTGATGCGTTTGCTAGTCACCTTTCTAAAGTATTTGTGACTAACGAAATCTATCACCAAGAAGCAGAAAAAGAGACGGACCTAAAATTGAAACAGGACTTCCAATTATCACTCCCACGCAAGTTAGTAACGCCGTGGGAAATATGGAGAATGATACGAGAGCTAAAAGACAAAAAAGCCCTAGGCTACAATCTCATCAATAAAGAAATATTAGTTCAATTACCAAAGAAGGGAATCACGTTTATTACATTTATTTTCAATAGGGATGATGACTAATTTTTGTTTGTTTGTCCGTCAGGTAGAGTGTTAAAAATATTAAACACGTATTTTTTTATTTTTTTCGTAATCATAAAATTACGGCGTTACATTGAGTTGAAATTTCACATGACGTCACGTTAGAGTACGTTTTCTACTCAACTGTGACGTAGCGAGCCCCCACTCCTCAACTTTAATGCCTGTTATCTAAGCTATTTCTTGTTAAATTGAAGTAAAAAAAAATACGTATCTAATATTTTTCTATTATCTGACTGACGGACTAAATAGAATTGCATTTTTTTTACCCAGTCATCATCCCTATTATCATCATCACCAGCTCATCGACGACTTAACATGCCTTCCGAAGCACGGAGTAGCTCGAGATAATAATTTTTGGTCACCCATCCCGTAACCGACCTTTGCGAAAGTTGCTTAGCAACTACGATCGCGGGCCGCATATCCACTACGCCACCGACACGTTACACGTTTTCAATGGAATCCTTAGAGTTCAGTACTTCTGGGCATTATGGAAAGTGTCACATATATTAATGATACGGAAACTAGGGAAACCATCTCATGAGATGACATCATATATACCGTTCTGCAGCCAGTTCTCTACAAATATTTTGTGAAACTCTTACTAAAAAGATTGCTTCCATACCTAACAGAATATAAAGTCATACCAAACTATCAACTTGACTTCAGGGAAAAACACTCCACCGTGGAGCAAGTGCATAGGGTATTGTCAGAATATCTCCAGTTACTTATAAACTGTCTTGGATTAAAGGATTGCAGTGATTTGTCATTTTGCGGTATACAGACAGAGATGTGTACCTATTTTTATTCTCAATAACAGATTATTGAGAATAAAAATAGGTCATATATCAGGATATATTCCACACAGAGCAAGGTTAGAAGATATAAAAAAAAATATATATTTGACACTCTCTTTAAAAGAATGTTAAGTTATACAAAACTGTTCTCGAGTAGAATTTTAAACTTAAAGACATTTAGTGTAGAGACTTCACAATAGGGAATATGCGTCTGATTCAAAAAAAGGTTAAATATATTTTATTACAATCGTTATTGCTTTACAATAAAGACTATCTAAATGTTTTTCAACATTAGTTCGTTTTCATCTTGGAAAATAATTATTAAAAAGTGCAAAATAAATGCGATAACTTCAAAATATTTAAACGCCATGCTACTTGTCAGAGCGGATGTGACGAAAATGTACACGTATAGGGATGTCGTTGTTACAAAATGTTAACATCGATGCAATAACATCAATGTATGATATCGCAAAATAAACAACTGATTACAATTAAAATGATGTTTTAGGCTTTTATTTTTATTTCACCAATTTGGTAAAATATATGATTTATTAAAAAAGTCTATTATACTTTAATATAATCAATTAATTGTAAATCGCTTTGGTTAATTGAATCATAATCAATCACTCAAAATCCATATTGATTTAAAATGTCATATCTCTATTCGTGTACTTTGACGTCACGATAAGCGCGCCAAAAATTCCGATGTTTAAACTGCTCGTATCTATTTCTTATTTTCATCAATTATTAATGTTACAAAATTTTAGTTATTGGGTGCCAGGTATTTTTTTACAGTTATATATCGATATAAATTATCATATAAAACCATTTTCCGAAAATGTGCATATTCCCTATTTTTGACATATTGTAGGAACCTGACGCTCTGCTGTGCGTGTTATATGATCTAACAATGTTGATACTATTACTTTTAAACAAAATTATATAAACTATCAATATAAAATATATAAGTATATGTCACTTGAAAATAACAAGAACTGGAAAATCTGATGGTTAAATAAGTCATGTGTTACTTCCCCATCCTCTCCACTGCTATTGCTCGCCACAGAACATAAACAAACCGGTTTTAAAGTATTATTAGATAGGTAATCGAATAATTAGCTAAAGGCCACATATTATGGAGTATCTGTGACAATAAAGGTACTGCAACACTCAGACCCAAGACAATATAGAAAAGTCCATTTTATACTTTGACCCAACAGAAAATCGATACCGAGACTTCAAAGATGGCGACAACTTGACACCGGAGTGCGAACCACTCTGCTACGGAGATTAATTAATATTTTTTTCAGTGCAGTTGCTCATAAAGCGCTATTTTTTTAATCCATTGTAAACACTGAAAGTGAGTCTTTAAACACGTTTTAAATAAAAATGTACTGAAATCCTTTACTGCACACATGCTAAAAAGTTTTTTTTTAATTTTTTTTTGGCCGAGCACCAAAGAAATTTAAAATTGATGAAAATATGTCAAACTTTAGAGGCAAAAGTATTTCAAGGAGCCTAGAACGAATATTTTCAAATAAAAATGTATGACACGAAAACATGTTCAAATATCATGTTTAATTTGGACAAATAATTTTTACCTTTAATACATACTTAGTTTAATTATATTTGTTTTATTTTCTCGCAAAAAGCATTGAAAAATGTTGTAAGAAACTTGAACGTAAAAGGTTTTCCGAATTCGTGCCAATTTGGCCCATATTCGTAAAACCTTACTTTCCGCACTCGTATCTTAAATAACTATAATATGGATATTGTTATTAATTGTACTTACTAAACCACCAAAGAGGTCCATTCTCCCGCGTGGTTTCGCACACAAGTCCTGTTCGTACTCCAAAAACACTCGGAGATGCGAATCGTTCCTAAATACGGGATGGCCCGCCAAACGCTGGAGGAACACCTCATGCATTGCTACAGTCTTCTTGAATGTAGCTAAGTATTCACTGTTAAAGAAAATTATTTATTTCAGTAAATAAATAAACGTTTTTGAAAGTACTTATTAATAAATGCAATAGACTGCAAAGAGGCTTTTAAAAATTGATTAATGTAAATACAGGCAAGTTTAAAAAACTGCACGCAAAATGCAAACGCGAATCCTATTACTAAGACTTCACTGTCTGTCACCAGGCTGTACCTCATGAACCATGAAAGTTAGACAGTTGAAAATTTCACATATGAGGTATTTTTATTGCGACCTCAACAAGAAATACTAAAAATAAGATTTAAAAAAATATTCAGTAAAAAAAGAGATTTTTTTGCTTGTTTCTGGAACCCTGCATATGCAAATCTGACTCTCACTTGGCTGGTTTTTGCTTTCATTTACCATCATAAAAAAAAGGAAATTTCATAATCATTCTAATGTATTATAAACAAAATACACATATTGCTACCACACTCTTGAAGGAGATGGCAATTCACAATTTGAAGATATAAAAAAATTATAAACAACACCACATACATTGCTTAGATTTCAAGATGAGTAGCCGGAGAGCATTTATTTTAGAGTATCTAAAACAACGAAGGTACCAAAACACCCAAATCCGAGAGAACATAGAAAAGTTCATTTTCTACATTGACCTAACCTAGATTCGAAGTCAAGACCTTAGAGATGGCGACACCTTGAAACTGGCATGCCAATCCACTTAGCTATGAAGGACGTCAAGTTAATAGAGACGATACTCACTCTTCCAACTCCTCTTTCATCTTAAGGAATTCTTCTCTGGTGAGAGCACCTTCCCCTTCACCTAAACGTTGCAATTTCTCTCGAGATGCATCAAAATCAGGTCTAGGGGGAGCTGGTGGTATCTGGGAAATAAACCATATAGTAAAAACATCAGAAGAACTTAAAATCAAATCAAAATTATTTATTCAGTCTAGGCTGTTACAAGCATGTGTGAAAGTCTAGAGCTACGCCATCGGTTCGTAAATCTATGACTGGAAACCTTGTAATGAGAAGAACCGGCAAGAAACTTGGCATGGGCTGCTTTTTTCTCCCTGTTTTATTTCATACAGAGTGTCAAGATTGAAAAGTGACTTCATTAAAATATGTAGTCACTTTCCATCACAATGTTAGAAAATATAAAAATAAAACAGTATTTTCGTCAATCGAATCACATGTCTACCCAAAAAAGCACACTATAAATAGAATTCATTTAAGGAAAATACTTAAAAGAATGACTGGCGCATATAAATATTTTCTATAAATAAAAAATGGGCTGGACCAGTGAGCATTCATTAACCCTGTGGGTACTCCTTGGGCTGAATTTCTTAAGCACTTGTTACTTTTGCTGCTATTGACCATATTTCAATCTTTATGTGAGGATATCTAAATAACTTATAGAAATATTTTTATTAATAAACAAGGTTAAGCCTTAGAGTAAATTTACACTGAGACTGCACTCAGTATTAGTCAAAATAAATATTATCAAACAGAGACTTAGCAAAGGTTAACCTAGTATGAGATTCTATGGGAGTAATATTTACTACTAGAAGGTAATAGGTTTGTTTATTCTCTGTATAATATGATTTTGGACTAATACTAAAATTGCTATTTTAGTATAAACTCTAACACTAAAACCTTGTTTATTAATAGCACTGTTAGAATTTAACTTCACTTTCCCCAGATCTAATATTATCATGCCCAAACACATGCAATCACAATAACTCACAATATAACCAGCATACTCTTCATTCTCCTCATATCTGTCATGAAGCCACACAAACTCTTCATGTTGTCTCACCACCACAAACTCTGACTTCTGGAACTCCGGAAGTGTAGTCTTTGTGTGAACAGTGAATTTCACTTTCTCTTTCTCACTTAGAGCATCAGATATATCCACCTGGTTAAAAGAATTCACATTTTTTAATAATAAGGTGTACACCAATATGATATGAAACCGTGACTGCTAAAAGCAAAGAAAGGGAAACACTGTCAATGGTCAGAATAAACTAGAAGTATGTAAAGAAAAAAGGAATTGTCAAGGTGTTTGCATAGGCATATCTAGGGAGGAGCACCCTATAAAAATACCCTTCGTCATACATTATTAAAAATAACTTCATAATTTACAAGATTCCTGGCTGGGGCCATTAAATCCCTTAGGAAAAAGTTAGATTAAGTTACTATCCAATATAAATTATTGTCATTAAATGAGTAATGCAAAAGTATAACTTGAAACTTACTTATCAAATATTTGTTAGTTTTTGGTAAGCAAGCTAGGAGTACAGCAAATTATTAATTCTCAAAAGACATATCTACTTACTAATAAACTGTTGTCTACTAAGGAAACAGTCTCGTTTGGCTTCTTCTTTGCTACTTTAGTATCTATGGTCGCTGGTGATGGAGTTGGTGCAGCAGCAGACAGGGGGTCATTATTGGTATCTTCTACACAATCCTAAAGAATAATAACAATAATAATATACATATGAACTGCTTCTAACATAGAACAGAATACAGTTCCAAGCAAGCTTTGTGCAATGTAATATGATACAATAATGTTTTATAGCAATACAAAACCCATGGCAATAGGTTGACCATAACAATAAGAAAAGATTAGGTGCCTGTATTTATATAAGTATTATTATTTTATTCATTAAAGTTTAATTATAATTCAATATTTAATTTCATTCTCTTTAGTATGCTGTACGTCACAATTAAATTATAAAAATATTATAATTTCCTAGTGTTACATTAGTAGGTAAGACGGTCCACGTCATGTATGTTTTCCGCAGTAAATGTGCCTAAAGACTACATACTATAATTAATTATCAACCGAAACACAATAATAAACAAAAACGATTCATATGCAGCAGTTAAAAGGTAATATTTGTTGTTTCCTATCAAATAATAAGCCATAATAACTTTTTAAGCGGTGACGCCCCCCCGGTACAATATGAATGTAAAATAACTTCGACGTAGTTTTGAAAAGGATTACTCACCATCATTTTTATGCTCCGTTAACCTGATTAAAATCCTTAAAATGCGTAAGCTTCTTTGTATTCTGTTTTTTTAATAAAATAGATAGAAAATAAAAGTTTTCACAACAGTGACAAACGACCACAAAATAATTTTGACTTTGACATTAGCTATCAGCAGAGGAAATGTGTCCATACAGCCACGTCATATTAATTTCATGCTCGCCTGGAGTTTGAATGATCAATCGATTAAAAATAAGCAATTCTTTCATTAATTTCTGATCGGACGATATTGCTGGATCTAGGATTCTACACTACTTCTTTTTACAGAGTTAACAACACACAGCCTGGTAATTTATTACTCTCCCATACCATAATTGTTAGTTTTCCTATTAATAAATTTTTATTAGTTCCTGCAATTAAATTTTAAGGCGTTAATAAATTGATAGATTTTTAATTATTTGACACTATTAAAAATAAGTTGCGTATACCTATTGAATAATAATCTAGTAAACTTTATTTCTTAGAATTTGCAGACAATTTTTTTTTTAGTTTTAATAAAATAACGTATAAAAAGTTAAACTGCTTATGCAACATTTGTGTAATCGGTAAATAAATAGTTGACAAATAGAAGATAAATAGTTTATTTCTCTTTGGCATATTTATCGGCATGTGATCTTACGAATACTACGTAATCAACACCATTACATAAAGCAGCATTTTTTACACAAAATAATCTAGCGTTATTTTTTACACAAAATAATCTAGCGTTATTTTTTACACAAAATAATCTAGCGTTATTTTTTACCACCCAGGATCCACTTAAGAGATGTTGACTTGGAGGTGGTAATGCATCCGCCGTATAGTCCTGACCTTTCACCTTCAGATTTCCATGTGTTTCGGTCTCTTTAGAATTTTTCATTAAGTGTCAAGTTAACAACACGCAAGGACTGCCAAAACCACTTGTCGGGATTTTTTTGACCAGAAGGAGAAGCCCCAAAATATTTATACATACATACATGGTACCTACATACTTTAGTTAAATGTACATAAACTTTATTAAAAAAGTTTTCGATTTTCATATAAAATGCGAAGAAACTTTTTTCCCAATCTATTACATAACTTACAATACAACAGCTCACTCACTATATGAATAAATTATTTAAATCTAGTTGAACGCCAGACAAACGCTACACTCGAGTTTAAATCCGCGTATTTAAATAATAAAATAAGAATATGTAATGTCTCTCCTCTGTATGCATTTAAACCATTTAAGCTCAGTCGTTTTTAAATATTTATTTGATGAACGTGCCTGTAAATATCGATTTATTGTTGTGACAGATGAAAAGGTTACTATACTTAAAAATAAATAAATAGGAGTTTTCTAATAAAATGAACTCATAAAATGATTATTAGTTCCGTTTCGTTTTCAGTGAATTTTATCTATTGTGATTACTTTGTTTCTTATTCGCATAAATAAAGTGTATTATTAAACTTTTGTAAATAAAATAAATTCTGTATATGATATAGTAGCATTTGTTGTCTTTGGTAGTTTTTATAAAAATCAATCAATGGAAGCAGTGGTGGATTTGTTATTGAATTATTTTTAGTTTATTTATGTAAAAATTAATTATATTTTATAAAATGGGAACGCAAAAACCAGGAGAATGGGCCAATTCATTGATTGCTCGGTTCGAGGAACAGGTGCGATAAATATAATTGATTATTTACATTAATTTAAAGACCCACCTTAAATATTAATTTTTTGATAAAAACAATACTTGAATCCTTTTTGTCTAAATTACTGTACAGAATGTAATTACGCTAACATATGAAAATGCCATTTAATTTCAAACATTGTCATATAACACCCACTTAAAATAAACATTTTATGTTATGTATACACATATTTTGAAGTTAAAATATATATATATCTTTTTTTTATATTTTTATTAACTTGCTTTATCCAAATTATTAGAGTAACATTATAATATCATTAATTTGTACTATAAACTTTAAAACCAAATCTAATTGATTAATTACTTTATGATTTCCATACTTTTAAAAAAATGAACAACTTATACAGTTTTATTGCGTTTATATATTTTTTTAATACAAAAGACGCAACCAATTAAAATTATTTATGTATAGTGTGTGTGAAAATATAAGAAATCAATATTCCATATTTTTACCAATTCGACCAGCTCTCGTCAAGTTCCTGTATGTTCTAAAATTAATATTCATAAACAATGGTATACAAAATTTTATAAATATTGAAAAGTCATACATATAATATATTAAGTGTATCATAGAGTACATTGTATTGTATTACAAACTTAAATCTGAAAGAGCTATAAGATTTTCATACTGTTCATTGTAATTTATTAACTCAAATATCCTTATCTTGTACTCTTTAAACATCTTAAGTACAGACTTGATAAATAGCAATAAGTAATGTAAAAATTTATGTTACTGTGCTATACTGTAAAGTTGTTAAAATGCAGCGACATATCGTACATTGAGAACGATAGTGACACAATGCAAAAAATATGATTTTGGGTAATGAGTGTTTAAAGCTTAAGAAATTGTATTCAGCCCTCTAAGCCACGTATCGTCACTACGCCACCTAGCCGTTTCTATGCAAGCTACGTTCACAGGGATCTTTGCATTTTAAGGTTTATACTTAAAAGAAAAATGTTGCCAAAAGTTAAAAATTCGTCGTTTTTGTTTAGTGACATTGTCATTCTCATCATGCGAATACCATAGGAGGTATCTATATAATAAAGAAGTATTGTACACAATTACTCCATATTCATCATTAGATATTAGTGATTTGCAATGCAAAAGCAACCTTACTAGCTCCTTTGGTGTGAACAAATTAATTGTACAACCCAAAGGTGATTGTAAGTTATCTAAATAATTTTGATGTGATGTTTAATTTACAGCTCCCATACAAGACTGGAGCACAGAACTTACATTCCCGCATCAACGAAGAACAGTGCAAAGCTTGCCTTGTCCAAATCAGCCGACACAGATTTTCCCTTGTCATATCTGGACTAACTAAAATATTGCAAAGGATTAATGAATTGGTAATTATATTATACTAGCTGTGCCCGCAACTTCGTTCATGTGGAATAGTGACTTGTGGCAGCATCTTTAATTTATAGGGTTACGTATCCAAAGGGTAAACAACCCTATTACCAAGACTTTGCTGCCTACCTGTCTGTAACTGTAAAAATAAGACATTTGAATTTGTCACAGATGATGTATTAAAAGGGCTGGTGATGATGATGATGATGATGTATTTCTGTTGCCACTTCAACAACAATAGAATAAAATAAATATTTAAGGGGCCTCCCAGTGATTTTTTCCTGTTACCAGGTTTTAATGTCATGAACCGTGATAGTTAGTTCAGATTTTTGACAGTCCAATTAAAAGTTGGTTGCCCGGGAAATTTAGGCTGTATCTCGTATACTGTGATAGCTAGACAGTTGAAATTTTCACAGACAATTTATTTCTGATTAGTTTTTTTGCGTTTTTTTTATTGATAACTTCTATTTTCTCGTGACTTTGCCCGCATAAGTTATAGCCTATGATTCCCGCATATAATGTAGCTTCCCGTATGTGAAAGAATTTTTAAAATCGGTCCTGTAGTTTCGAATCCTGTTATAATAATATCAGTAAAGATAGTACGGAATATTTATATTGTTCCATTTGTTGCAGTACCAACCAACAATAACATCTTCTTCTGGTGTTAATCGGCCTACAGAACAAGAAAAAAGTTACCATGATAGTCTAGTAATAGTCTTGGATACTTTAGAGATATGCCTAAGCTCACAACCCAAGGATACAACTAAATATGATGAGGCCATGAATGTGAAAATACTGCTTAGGGAAGTCTGTCAATTTATAGGTGAGTAAGTATGATTGGTAAAAATGAAATGGTGAGCGTACATGTTTAATTCTGGTGCTTTGTCGGTTTCAAGTGTTGTACATTCGCTCGGCTCACGCTTTATTTATTTCTGGCCTAAGTAAGTTTGCTGTTATAAACTACAATAAAACAAATTTATTTATCAAAATTATTCAAGTAACACACCATTGAAATATAACGTTTAAGTGTAACTGAAATAGAAACCTACAGAATTGTGTTTTACACCTAATATTATTATAATATTTCAAAATTAAATAATAAATCCGTCCTTACAATTAAGTGCTTGACTTAATAAAATTCACTGCTCTATTAATTACTCTATTTGTTTTTGTTTCAGATATGCGCAACGAAAGCACTGTGAATAACGCGGTGCTGAGGCAGCTATCCAGCAAGGTCCTATTTGCACTCAGCCTAAACTTCTTCAATGCTGTGTTCAACAAAATTAGCGGAAGGTTGCAGGTGAATATCAACTTTATAACAACATTGCATAAAGTTGAACAACTTTTGACATTTGTACATGTAAACGCTAAAATTGATATATTTCAGGAACTTGCGTCTAGCTCAGAAGAAAACCCCGATTATACAGATATTGAGTTAATACAACACATTAACGTGGATATATTAAGGCTTATACGTCTATTAACGGGTGAGTGCCAGTATAGAGTACAAACGAATCAAAACTTTAAATCAAAGCAAAAGTGTATAGTATAATCGACTCAATTGTGCGCGCGGCGGTATGTGTGGGTAATTCTTGTAAGTGTGGGTAGTACGCCCAAATACAGATACAAAAAAAATACTACTCAAGATCGGTACTAGAAATATTTTAATGATTTTCATATTGGTTGTTCTCTACCAAGGTTAATTATTAAATCCGGTTACATAGCAAAAACAAAATTCTCTGTGAAGAACAAGACATTGTGTTTTGTGAACAATAAAGGTAAAAAAAAACATTTTTGATAATGATGCGTTAAATTGATAAGACTAATAAGATTACTCGGATGATGACTCATGCGTCACTGTCACACAAATGAAAGTTGTGTCATTACAGGCTCACGCATACAGCGCCGCGCGTATAATTGACTTGAACTATTTATTGATATTACATTGAATATTTGTATGTTTGTATTTGTAATAAAAGTTGGGTCAAAATATTATAACAATTGAAAATCAACCTTATTAAATTGAAGTTATAATGTCAACGGCATGAGGTTAATTTTCAATATACCAATAAATTTATATTTTAGAAATTTCAATTCATATCACTGTTT